AAAGGGGTATACATATCCTATATATTTAAAAGAGGAAGGGAAGTAGGCTTAATGAACTTGGCCAAGTTTATAGTCACATTAAGAACCAAACTTCTAGCTTGATCAAATTCATATGTTTTTAAGTCTCTAATGCTGCCCTCTTCAAAGGGCTGAAATGATTATCAAGTGACCTTTCACTTACTCCTGATGGGGAAAACTGTGGCCTAAGTTATGACACCTATGCCCCTTCCTAAGATGATCAAAGTTGTTTGCAGTTCTGCTTATCCTCAAGACAACCTTCCCAAAAACATAGGCTAAGAATTCTAAAACCAGGACCAGAGAAGAGCAAGGGCTTCCAGCCAGAGTTATGTTTGTCAGCTGTCACTCCAATATTAGGATGAGCATCACAGATGCTAGGGTTCAGGATGTTACCTGCAGGCCCAGAAAACAGACTCAGACCTGAAGTACCAGCTGGAACAGAGCAGAATGGAGCATTCCTGCCACAGATAGAAAAGCACCTGATACTAAGACAGTATCAAATGTGCAGCCACAGTTATGGCCTGTTGTCTTGTGCATCTTGGCATTTAGAATTTCCTAAAATAGCCATGACCTCCCTCTGCTAAGAGGAGCTTCTTCCTTCCTCTTGTGAAGATGAGCCTATGTAAGTGTGAAGCCTGTGGTGGCTCCTCCTTATCTGGTCCCACATTTCCAACCACTGCATCCTCCCTAGAAGCCTGGGGGTGACTCTATGTTACAAAGACGCCACACCCAAATCAAACCAAGGAGAGTGGACAAAAATAGAAAATCTCTTTTCCTAGAGATTTTTCCCATCAGTAATTCAAATACAATATTGTCTTATTACTAAGAATTATTTCTAAGTTATTTGAACATCCAAAAGGGATTTAAAATACCAGTATTCTCTTTTCTTTCATTAAATTTGTATTAATATCAAATGATTAAAAACAGTAATAGAAAAGTAAAATATAAAAAGTACAAAACAAGATCTTCTCATTTCACTAAAACCAGCATTTCTATTTTAAGAACTTGATGCAAAAATGAGAATTCCTTCTTGATTTGTTGTGTTTATTCACTAAAGGACATAACCATTGAACCATTGATAGGGAGAATTCCAAGTCAGTC